CAATGCTAAAGAATAATGCAGAATCTGCAAAACACCACATAATATGCATAAACTTGGAGGACATCATGCTGAGTGAAATAAATCAGTCACAGAAGGACAGATATTGTATTAGTCCATTATTGTAAAAAGGCAAGGAAAGGTTTATATATGGAAGGACATTTTCTTTGTTGGTTACCCAAGGTCAGAGGGAAGGGCAGGGACACTGTTAGACAGGTAGAGACAAGTTTTGGTTTAGGTGAAGAGAAGGGCAATGTACCAAATGTGAGTAATCAACACAGTGGCATGGAGGAAGAGGAGGACATAGAAAGTTCCATGGGAGGTACAGACAACAAAGGTGAACCCATTTGCACACAGTATTATGTTGTTAATGAAGGCAAACACTGATATACAGGTGGATAGATGTGTGGCCAGGGTGAACCAGTAAGCATGTCTATGCAGAGGGAAGTATGCCCATGACCATGTATAGATAGCATTGGTAGACAATGTTTCTACAAGTGTACTGGTATGTTCTGTAAGAACATCCAGGTAAATAATAGAGCTGTAAAGGGACAAGTTTGTAGTCAGTTCTTGGACAGAGCCAGCTATCTACAGAAAGGAAATAGTTGGACCTGTGGGCTCAGTCCCTGGTCTCAGGGGACATTAAGCTCAATTGGCATAACATACTACAAAAAAACATTGTTCCACATCCTACTTTGGCAAGTAGCTACTGGGATCTTGAAAGTTTGCAAGGAGCCATATAGATATTATAATGGACTTCTCCTTGTGTGGAGCAAAGAAGAATGAAGAAAACCAAAGACTCATGGAAACAATTAGTCCAAGCAACTGGTACACCATGCAATCCTTCACCTATACGACTATGCGACCAGAGCTAGACAGTGCCTGGCTACCACTGTCAACCACTTGGAGAGGGATCTATGTAGGAGATCTTGGATAGAATGGGAGAACAATGTGGAATAAAACTCAAAATCATTAAAAAAAAAAAAAGACCAGTCTTGCTGGTCTGATAGAGCCTGATGGAACCCTTGAGAATTTGGCCCCTAGCTGCCCATTGGGTCTGGAATTGAACCCATTCCTGTGGCTTCCAGCCAAACAAAAGACAGGCATATGAGCTGAACATATACATTAGATAGATACAATCCTTGGAGAGATCGATCATGCAAGAATAGAAGGGTGATATATGCACAGGGAGACAGCTCATGGGGCAGGAGTGCATGGGAGGGAAGGACACAGGGAAGGGGTAACTATGGGAAGGTAGTGCGAGGGAGTTCTTGCCTTGTGGGAAATTGCAGTCAATGTCATAAGACAAAGTGTATGTGAGCTGCTGTGTAGAGAGTGAATTTGCTCTGTAAACTTTCATCCAAATCACAATAAATTTAAAAAATATATATATATATTGAAGAAAGTAAAGCATGTCATAAGTGAAGATGACCAGTGGTGACAACAAAGAAGGGTAAGATCTCCTTTTTTGTATAACAATGTAGTTGTAGAGGAGTTTCTGGGTGACACAAAAGATTAAGGACTTGCCCGCTAATAGTAAGTGGAGTTGGAAGTTCAAGTCTACCCAGCAATGCCTTGGAAGAAATCCCTAGTTATCTCCCTCTGAAAAATAAGCCATTAAAAACGCTATGGAGTGCAGTTCTATTCTGCCACACATGAGACTGACATAAGTCAGAATCAACTCTACTGAAATGGGTTTGGTGGCCAGAGTAGGGACAGCATTATCTGCCCTGGATCGTTACCAGGAGGAGAAAGTGAGACAGCATCACCACTGAGGGATTACAGAGGCCCTGACACAGGCATTTTATCTGTCCCTTTTCTGCTTCCCTCTGAGGCTGGCCCCTCTCCTCTTCCAGCTGATTTAGGTCAACTTTCCATTTGCTGCTCCTTTAGTGCCTAAGACATCTGACTGCTAACCAGAAGACTGGTGGTTCAAACTCACCAGCCACTCCTCGACGGAAGGTAGAGCAATCTACTTCCTTAGTGATACCACTTTGAAAAACCAAGGAGGGATCGTTATGAGTCAGATCCAACTCCACGGAAGTGAGTTTGGTTTTTGGTTTTGGTTAGTCTCTGGTGGTGTAGTGCCTAAAGCATTTGACTGCTAACCAGTTTGGTTTACTAACCAAACCCACCAGCCATTCCTCAGAAGGAAGACTGGGCAATCTACTTCCATAGAGATACTGCCTTGGAACCAACTCGATGGCAGTGAGTTTGTTTGTTTGTTTTTTTTTTTTTTAAGTCTTCTCCCAGGAGCTCTGGTGGTGTATTGGTTAAGGCATTTGGATGGTAACCAAAAGGTTGGTGGTTCAAATGCACCAGCTGCTCTGTGGAAGAAAGACGAGGCAATCTCTTTCCATAAAGATTTACAGTCTTAGAAATCCAATGAGGGGTCACGTCACTATGGGTCAGAATTTCAGTGAGTTTGATTGGTTTCAAGTTTCTCCCTGTAAATGGAGTTGCCTTTTCTGCTGGCACCCAGTTCATCAAGCCTCTGAGGACCTTGTCACTGCCAGATGTGCCTGCCCCATCCAAGCTGCCAGTCAACCTGTACCAGGCAGGTCTCAGAGGGTACATTGTGTCTTCCCTGGGATAGACCAGCTTTACCCAGCTCATATATCCTGTGAGAAGAGCAGATTTCAAAGGCAAATCAAAGTAACCTGTCCAGTGAGGACTGGATAGTTTTCTAAAAATTTAGGGTAGAAGTCCTTTAGCTATACTCCAGTGAATTTAGTCAACTGCATGCATATGTTATCAATCAAGGGGAGAGGAAAGTGGAATCCCATAATTTTAAGGGTCATCATCCATGAAGATTGTCCAGGGTCATTAAGGAGCCACAGCTGGTTGGAGTGTGAGGATGGGGAAACATGTAACCTCACTGAGAAAGGAGAGTCAGTCATTCCAAGAGCTGCAAAGTGATGCGGGCCACCCTATATTGCTTTTAGCTAAAGACATTTCAGGGCTGTCAAGCTGGTGCCTGCTTCAGGTAAATGTCTTTCCCTACTACAGAGCCTAAATCTAATTCACAGCTTGGTTCTGATGTGAAGTCTTCCTCCTCAACCTATGAATGGTGTCAAGATGGCAAATGGGATCAGTATGCTTGACTAGCTCATGAGCGTCCTGGTAGGAAGGATGTAGTTCCTTCTTCAGACAGCACCCACTGCAGGTTCGATATCTATACAATGAGCTGGGAGTAGAAAAGTGGCATTTGGCTTTGGACATTGCTCAGCATTTTAATGACGTCAGTGGACAATGGCCAGTCCACTGCCCCTAGGTTATGGGAGAGGGAGGCTCATACAAAATGGAAAGTAAATCAAGTCCTTTCGTCTAAACTTCTGACATCCTGGAGACATAGATGTGCTGTAAAAACCCAAGTTAAACCAGAACCTGGCTGTCTCTTCTGATCAAGGTTACTACAATTATTTGGGTAAGGAGAAACATTTTGTAGTCCTACAACCTCGGCACAGAGATGAAGCCTTCAGATCCTGACAAAGCATCTGCTTTCTATGCCTAAAACCTCCTGTGACCCCAGTTACAGACAGGAGTTTCCTATGTTTAACTCCAATATAAAAATATTCTATCAAATTATATCTTAGAGTTTACAAAGAATTTTCTCATCATTGTCCTTCTGAACTTCACTTTCTATTTCTTCTTTGAACATTGTCTTTTTAGGTTTTATTACACCAGTACCAGCCATTTGCCCCAACTTATGTTCCCTGTGCATGTTCCAATGTTCATCCAGTTTATTATTATTTACTGTCTGCATTTGTTGCTTCAGTCAAGTCCTATACAGGCAACTCAGGTTTGTGACCACATGCCTGATACCCTTCATTTAGAAGTGCTTCCCCCACAAAATATTAACCCTTAACCCTTCCTGTAGCATAGAATCTGCTCTGGACAAGGAAGACAAATTGTTTCAGGGAAAGTAAAAGGCTGGCTTTAAAGGCTCTTCTCTGAAATAGGACACTCTAGAGCTTTCAATAAGCAATTAGTTAGCTTCATGATTTCCATGTAGATACACCTGTAATAGGAATTGCTGTTAACAACCTCCAGAGATGGTGGCTATGCTTCTACGAACCCTCAAAGCATATTCCTCCATTCCCTATCCATCTACCAATAAATGAAATTCATGTTCTAATAAATATACACAGTTTTCTTTCACCTTACCTATCATCTGTGGCATTTCCTTAGTGAATCCTATTACCAATATCAGACTCCTGTAACATATTAGACTGTCATAATATATTGCTCAGGAAGATGGTGCTGACTCTACAGTCACATTCTTAGGAACCTATAATCATCCCAGACTATTCTGCAATTATCCTCCAGGAAGATCACCTCTCTTAAACCCTTCAGGTCCCTCTGATGTAAAAATGATCCTTGATTCTCTTCTCCTATCCATGACCAAAAGTAAGGTGTTATCTGTAAATACTCCAAGATCTTAGGGGGAACATTATTACCCAGGTGCTTGAAGAACATTATTCTTTCAATCCCGTCATGTTGTCCTTCTCTTTGAAGTTGGAGTTGTTTTTACTATTGTGGTTGACATCGACATTATAATCACCACCACTATCTTCATTATCATCTTCATCATCATCAACATACAAAAAGTCCATACTATTTTAGCACCTACTGCATGGAAAATACTCTTCTGGATGTGAGAGTTGGTACTGTTAGATTAGTTGTGCTATGATAGACAGGTTTATAATGCAAGAGAAAGGGGCTGCACTTGCCTTCAGAGAACTTAGATGTCTGTATGGGAGATAACCCATCTTAAGAGGACACACCTATAGACATACACATAAAACAGACAAATACAAATTATGTATGCCACAGTGTGTGACTGTATTGTATAGATGAGTGGCAAATATAGTGGTCATAATGGTGAAAGAAAGCAGATGATGTGAAGATTATTAATGCCAGAGTCTATCATGTTCCTATGAGGGGAATATAACCAAGTCCTTTCTTTCTTCTTTTTTTTGTCTTCCTCTTGTTTGCCTCAGACTGGTTGAAGGAAAGAAGGGAGTCAAAGTGGAAAACAGACCATTCCTCTCTAAACTCATCTTCTACAATGTCTCTGAGCACGACTATGGGAACTACACTTGTGTGGCCTCCAATAAGTTGGGTTACACTAATGCCAGCATCACATTATTTGGTGAGACTGAGCCCCAAGCTGGGAAATGAAAGGGGCTGGGTAGGAAAAGGGGACGGGAACACACGGAAATGGGAGGATGTTGGAACAAAGGGTCCAAAAGGGCAAGTATCAGAGAATGAAAGTTAGTTAGGCAGGGGTGAGTGGGTGAGTAAGGATACTAAATGAGAGGAGAGAAGGAGAGAGAGAAAGAACTAGTACATGTACAAAAGTTGACATTGGGAGTGGGACAAGAGAAATGCACATTAATGTTAATGCATATGTTTATTTTTATGACAAAAACCCTGAAATAGGAAAAGAACTTGGGGATGCTAAAATGACTTTTTTTTATTATTTTTTTTCCTTCAGTTATAGTCCGTATACTGACTGGGAATTATTATAGAGTAAATGGTAAAGAGACCAGAGGGAAACATTTTCTATTCCAATACTTTGTTTACTGGATCAAGGTAAATGTTCTCTTTTCCAGCCATTGAGATATAAGAGAAATTGATTTGTATTTATAAAAGTGAATCGTAAGTCTTGGGATCCTGAATAATATGAGCTTCAGAAGAAGAAGAAAAGAATAATGGGATTTCCCAAGTTCTCATTATATCAAAGGCTGTGATCTGGCTAGATTAAGATACATGTCCACCCAAACTGCCATCCTAGCAGATCCGCCTATCTATTCACTCATTAGTTCATTAAGCGAACATTTACTGAAGAACTAAAGTAAGCAAAGCAAGTTGCTGCATCTTCATTACACATCTTGCTGCTCTTTTGGTAGCTGAAGCAAGTAATGAGAACAACTTCTAGACCTCTGGATGCCTGCAGTCCTGTGAATGGAGCAGCTCCACAGAAATCACCCTGCAGACATGTGTTGTCAGGCTGGTCCTCTGGGGATCTGGTATTTATTCTCACCCTTGAGAAGAAGCAGGATTCATTTCAGATAAACTTTTGGACAAATCCTTCCATACCCCACCAACATCAGTTATTTCAAGATTTTTCAAATCACCTCCTCTAGACCCTTATGTTATACAAGCGTTCTTGCATGGGAGGATGGGGTGAGAAGTTTGAGGAATTTATCAGATAATTTGCAATAATGCAAATTCCTTTTATTTGGAGAATGCCTCAATAATCCCATAGTTTCCCAGGATCCATACCCTCTGCCAGATGCCCACCACAGATGGTGCCTTCAGCTTGCTCTGAATAATCAATCTGGGTCACTCCATCCTTCAGTTCCTGCTTCCAGTCACTTTCACAGCCCAGCACATAAAGTGAAGTCCAACTTTAGCTAGAGGCCAGGAAGGCAAATGTGATCCATGATCCCAGAGCTGGTACTCAGGATGGGCAGAGCTGTGATTAGAATGATTGATTTATCTGACATCTCTCATACAGGGATAGACATAATTGCCCCTCATATTTGTCAGACCCTCATATTCCCCCATCCCCTATCTGCCTACCAATAAATGAAATTCATGTTCTAATAAATATACACAGTTTTCTTTCACCTTACCTATCATCTGTGGCATTTCCTTAGTGAAGGAAGCAGGTGTCTGTCTGCATGTAGAGAAGGCCTGGATTAGCAAAGAATGATCCCTCCTTCCCTGGCCCTACACAGCTGTGGGTCTCCCTGGCTGGGTGGGTCCTCCTACCCTTCCCAAGCCCTGCCCTCCACCCACCTCTCGTTCCTGTAAATAGTCTTCTTCCTCCTGTGACATCATCTTTCTTCTGATTTGGTTGCATGAAGGGCTTTGCAATTGGCTTTATTGCTGCTAATTCTCTGGCCTCTTTTCCTTAAGCCATTTCAAGATGAGGAGCTCTGGTAGCATAGTGCCTAAGGCACTTGACTGCTCACCAGAAGGCTGGCGGTTCAAACCCTCCAGCCACTCCTCGGAAGGAAGGTTGGGCAATCCTACTTCCGTAGTGATACTGCCTCGGAAACCCAAGGAGGGGTCGCTATGAGTCGGGGCCGACTCGACGGCAAACAACAACAACAACAACATTTCAAGATGAGTATAGGGACAAGCAGCAAACTCTTTTTTTTTGGTTTTGTTTTTTCTTTTTAGGACTGGAATAGCTGGTATTTGTAACAAAGAAAGCAATGAGGCATGTGTCATAAATCTTCTATTTTACTCAGACACTTGGTAGGAATTAAAACTTCTGCTTCCCCCACACCTGTGGGTCTGCTTGCAATCATATGAGGGAATCAAGTGGGAAATCCCTAGCCTTCCTGTTTCCAGGAGTCCAGTATTAGTATATCTGCAATAAGTTTAGGAAAAATTGGGTCAAACAAATATATATTAAAAAAAGTATGTGTAGTAATTTACTACAGAAATTCTTGGTGCCTTCACCCTGCTAAATCTCAAGAGGGATATAAAGTTTACAACATTTTCCAAATTTGTTTGCCTCAGAAATTCTTTGTTTGCCAGTTGAGAGCCCATTTCTGAGGGGTGTCTCACAGAAATACTCAACTGGTGGCAGAGTTTCATGGGACTAGTGAAACAGTACTGATGTGTAGGATAATTGCTTCCAACCCATCTGCTCTAGCCCAGATTAATCTAGACACTATTGAAGCTCCTCCACTCATAGTCAAGCCTCACCATTGATGAGGCCTTTGTACAAATATCAATCTGTCAGAGAATCGTGCACCTGATTTTCCATTATCAGAAAACTCCTCTATTCAGAGCCATCAAACCAACTTGGGCAGGATGATAAGCAGCATTTATTTGATGGGAATACAGGAACTTCGTGATAAATCTCCTATAGAAGGCCAGCTAAATTATAGCCATTTTGCTACCAAATTTTCCACAAACTGCACTCCATTTATCTGTTTCATCTGGACATAGGAATGGAAAAAATCGCTAGTACTGGAAGACTCATGTGAAACAATGGCAAGGAGTAGGGTACTTCCTATCATGAACCAGTAGAAGTTCTAAACACCTGTCCCCTGATATTGCACAAATTACAGGGGACTTTGAGAGGTCTGCTTCCATTATTCTAGGACACCATAATTCTGGAAACTTTGCCCTTGCCATTGTGTCATGGGATCAGAAGATTCTTAAATATGCTCTCCCAAGGAGAAACGCAGGCTGGGACATAGGAGAGAAAATCCTGCTGGATAAAAAGGTGTTGGGTTTTTGTTCCTAAATCTGTACCCCAGTTCAGCACAAACTAAGAGTAAATCTATCTTCAATGGCTAATGTGTGGAGTGGCTAGATCCCTGACTACACAACCATTGTATCCAAGAATGGAAACATGAAGCATTTCAGTCTTTCTACCTTGTTGTCTCACCTTTTCTTTTTATATCTTTTTTTTTTAATCCATTACTCCAGAAATGTTTATGAAAGGCAATATACAAACTATATATGACAAATATGTTGTTGTGTTGTTGTTATGTGCTGTCAAGTCGGACCCGACTCATAGCAACCCCTCCTTGGGTATCCTAGGCAGTATCACTACGGAAGTAGATTGCCCCATCTTCCTTCCGAGGAGTGGCTGATGGGTTTGAACCGCCAGCCATCTGGTTAACAGTCAAGTGCCTTAGCCACTATGCTACCAGAGCTCCTATATATATATAGTGCTGTATATAATATACATGTTTGTTTTAATTTTTCTCTCTCATATGTCCCTCACCTGATTTAGAACTAAATGAGCCTCCAAGCTCAACTTTGTTCCAAGGTCAGTATGGCCTTGCTTTAAGTATTCTTTCTCCTTCTTGATCCCAGAACCCTAGTACTCCCTTCCTCCCTGCTGCTGTGCATCTCCTCAGCTGTTATCTGTAAAGTTGTTTGGGGGATAGCAATGGAAGTTTATCCCTGGAAGATACTGGGAACTGCTGAAACTCCAGAGGAGCTCACTTCTCTCTGCTCTTGCCTTACCCACACTTCCTTAAGAGGGTTGGGAGGAGAAAGGGAAAGAAAGTATCCCTAAAATCTCAGAGCTCAAATATCAATGTGAAGGCAGAAGGTTGAATGAGTGTCTGAATCTATAGAAAAACAACTCCAACACACTGAGCAGTTTGCATTGCAAGAATACTATTGATAGTCTCTCAACCATGGAATCAAACTCTTGTACATGATGATTCAAATATTTCATGAAATAAGCCAACTGGCTCACAACTAGGTTCTTCCAGAGAGGGAAGGAGAGAAGGTGCAGCATGTATTGTCATCAATAAGCAATGACTGAGAGTGGGATAACACAGAGTTCTGGTCTAGACCTTGCTACTTAGTAGCTCTGTGTCCATGCAAGTCACTGACCTTATTTAGACTCAATTTCTTCCTCTATAAAATGCAATTGATAAATCTTGCCTTATCTACATCAGACTTCACTGAGAATGCATACTTAAAAGGCTTTGAAATTTTAGGTGCATTTTGAATCTCTAGATGAAGCTAAACTATAGGACTTTCCTCAATATGACATTATAGGGGTTCCTTACCTCATTTCTCAGCCCCTTCCCCCAGCCCCTTTTCATTCTCTTCTACTTCAAGCCTGTTCCCATGTCTAACTCCTACAGATCTTGCCTTTTTTTGAACTACCGTTGCAGATTTTTATCAAGGTCCACTAGCCTAACATGAGTTAAGACCATGACTTTTCACCATGACTAAGTATTCAGCCTAAACTAGCCAGGGCAGAGAAAAAAAAAAGTGGGGGGGCTGCATAAGCATTGTTTACTTCATGAGGACAGTGTTCACAAAACCAAGAACACAGAAGAAACACAGCTGTGAAGACAGGGAGGGGCAATGGGTTTATCCCCTTCCTCCCATCTCCTGAACTTCTCCATGCCACTGCACCCAGCACCCATCATTTTCCTCCCTCGTATTCTGACTGTGCATACAATCATTGGATGATGGCATGAGATGTGGAGGGTGGAATAGGAAATGGAAGTAAATGAATTGTTTGAGAAGCTGTTTGACAGATGAGAAAAAAAAAAAAAAAAACTTTTATCATGAAAAGAGTCAGGGCTGCATTATTCACCCTAGTGAAGTATAGTACCATAGTGATGAGCCATGAACAAGAAAATGCAA